TTTTTGTTTGTTTGTTGATCCATTGTTTGGAATGCCACATATGAATCCAAGCTACTCTCCACCATGGAAGGCAGTGAGACAGTCTGCTACTGATATTGGAGTTGATAGCTTTAAGTCCATGACATAATATCCAATGCCAGACACCAAAGATACTCCTAAAGTGGTGGTTCTTTGCTGCTAGAGCTTCTTTTCTCTGAACTATTTTGGTAATACACTCTAACTTAACTCAGAATTCTTTTCTCTTGTTTCAGGCACAGTATTCTTCCAAGTTTTCTCTGGTGGCATATATTACTGCTAGTAATGATAATGAGATGAACATTTATTGAAGGCTTACTAAATGCCTAATATTGTTTTACATATTAAATATTCTTATAATCACCACAGCAATATTTTGAATAAGATATTATTATTGTACAGATAAGGAAATTGAAGCATAAAGAGAATATATAACTTGTCCAACTTCTTATAGTAACTAGATGAGCCTGGACTTAAATCCAAGTTGTCTGAGTTAAGCACTCAAGCTCTAAACTCTGTGCTTCCTTAACTTCCCTCAAAGTAGCACTGCCAGTGGTTGCTGAGCACCAGGGCAGGTGGAGTGGGTGTAGCTTTGAATCCGTTTCTTTATAAACTTGGTGGTTTATAGAGGTGAGTTTAATACTAGATTTAATTTTGTAGTTTTACAAATGAGTTTCTTAGGCTTCCTCAATTTTATGAAACCACGTGGTGGTGTGTGTGTCTGTTTTCATTTTCGACCCAGAATAGTTCTACTTATCTTTAGATCATATCTAGTCAACGTATACTCCTTTAACTTTGGCCTAACAGCCTACTAGTCAGGGTAACACTGTACTCTTAGTTCAGTTCTGAAGGAAAGATTTTAATAAAGCGTGCAGCTATCTTTCACAGTTAGGTGTAAAATCTTGGAAAAATATAATCCTAATAACTGTGTCAACTTGATTACTGCCTCCATCTGTCAACACCTTAATAATGAAATAATAAATAAAGCATTCCTTTTCCACATCCAGAAATATTAAAGAATATGGTGGATCTTTGTGGGGGGTCTCTCTAGAATTGGCCTAGAGGTTTTACTGATTCATCAAATAGAGAACATATTCATCCCTCTCTCTTGCTCTTGCAGGCTGCTGCAGCCCATGCTTAGTGACTTTTTTTTTCACATGCAGCTGCCTGGGAATGTTATATTGCTCCACATTCTGCATGTGTTCTCTCCAAGGAGATAGCTCTTGGAATAGCTCACCATGTTTTACTGGGATAGTGGAAGTTTAGGTTTTGTTGAGACTCCAACAAGGCCTGAGCACTTAGGAAGGCTGGCCAATTGAAATAACATTTCAGGTGAGATTTGCAGGAAGAGGAAGAAAGGAGCTTGCCGGGTAGAGCAAAGAGGAGAATGCAGGGGCTAGTGTGGTTAACGCTTTGTTTGGAAAAGCTCTCTCTCCTCTCAAAACCCTGATATGTAAATGCCAAAGAAGAGAATCTGGTTTGGCTCCTTTAGCCAAAGGCATTTTCCTGTGGAAGTTTTTCATGGAGAAGCTTCCCTTTTAGCATCTTAAGGCAAGAAGAAATTGTAAGGAATATTCTAAGGTAGTCTACTTCCAGGCTGAGTTATATGACTACTTGAAAATGTACCCATAACATGTAGACTCTTAAAGTTATATGACTCTTACTATTCTCTTATCATTTTCATCTCGATGTGTTGTTGGTAGTACTTTTTAGCTCATTACTCTTTTTGTTGCTGATTATCTAATTGGTATAGTTCAGATTTTTTTTTTTACCTTCCCTTTTCCCTTCTTGTACTTAACTTTGGGCCACTCATCCATCCATCAGAACTTCTACCAGAGAAGGTAGAAGTCAATTTCACTTTTTAAATAACTGCTTTATTAAATATTTTGATGAGAAAGGACATGAAAATTATTGCATTACTGGATTATAGGACATTTTTTCAAGTCTCTGACTCTCATTAATAACCCCCCTTTGTTGCCAGAGATATTCAGTATTCTGTATATTATTGATATATTACTAACAAAAGTCATTTTATTTCGTATTTCTCTGAGGGTGAGGGTGTGCCAGAAAGAACTTTTTAACCATTTAATTTTTCTTTTTAAACTCATGAATTTTGGGTCTCCCATTTCCTTGGAATTTAGATTCAGAAAGCAGGTAGCTAAAACCCTGGGTTACTGGTATTTTTGTTTATTTCTACATCTTTCACCTTCTTAAAAATTTTGTGTGGGCATTGAAAGCTGAGATCCTGCAGTGTTTAGGAGCATTTCACATTTCCTCAGCTCTGCCAGGTGATAGGTAGGAGGTGGGGCCTCAGTTTGAAGGATTGGTTTCCTTTGTGCAGAAGGGGCACCATTAGCCTAGTACGAAATGAAGTATGTTTGTTCATTTTCTCTTTTTCTTTATGAGGGGTTCGGGCGTGCTGACACTTAAATATAAACAATAGTGTAGAATGTGGTCTTTGGCCAGTGGGGGTGAACATACACACCAAAAAATAGGTAAAGTACCTTGATTCATATGTTTACTTCAAATATTTAAGGAAGCATGAGAGAATGAGAAGCCAAAGCTGCTCATATTATAACTAACATATTATTCAGAATGTTACATTGAATTAGAATGTTATAGAAGAAGCTCTTTTTAACTTTCTTCCATTTTATTTGTTCTTACCTTGCCTGTATATACTCCAAGTCAGGAAGAGAAAAATTACCCTGATGTGAGTGACCTAATAGTGAATCTAATCAACTAGCTCCAAAGGATCAAAATATAAGTATATCCAAATGGACAGGGACATTGGTGGGGGAGGTTGACTTTTGTAGAAATAACCAGAATCCCAAGAGAGGAAAGTGCTAGGCAGACTGTGAGAACACAGGATACTTTCTGTGTGTATTTATATTTACATGAAATTCTTATTTCTCTGGGCTCAGACATGTAGGGCCTGCTAGATTGACTTATTAATTATAAATATACTAGAGGCCCAGGGAGTGAAATCGTGTGGCCCCGCCCACCTGCGGGCACCTCACTGTGCCTGCCTTGCCGTGCCCCACCTGCCTGCCACCCCGCCCGCCCACCAACTGCCAGCCTTGCTGTGATTGGAACCTGTGGGCCACAGGGGAGGGACCGGGAGGTGCTTCATGCACTTCATGGTGCCCGGTCGTTTTGGTCATGATGCCTCTTGGCCTTATATTATTATGATTCCCTAATTATATGATGTTTTCCAATATTTTTAAATTAAATTAGGTAAATTGGATATATATGTATATACATACATAAACATATCTAGTTTTTATTATATTTATTAATAAATTAAATTTTATTTTTAGAGTTAATTTAACTAGCATATTAGCATCTTATTGTTGAGTCTGGAACATCTCAGAACATGGCAGAAAACTTATTTCCTCTAATCTACTCATTTGTAAGAAATCCTGCCATTCACAGATGACATGTTGTTTTTTTGTGACCAAATTTCTCCTGAAAAACAACAACAAAAAACACACAGTAGCCTTTCTAATAAAAAATACCTTTCTGAGTTTCTAAAGCATTTTTAAAAATTCCAAAGATAATCAAATATCCATAGAAGATTGAAAATGGAGTCTTTGAGTTTCCCATTGGGAAATACATTTTTTCAGAAAAATATTTTCCTAAATATATTTTTCCCTTTTGAAAATCTACTCTTTTCTCTCTCAGAATGTTAAGTGAAGTAGTTTATGTAAAATGAGATGTGAACCATTAACCAGTCTCAAACTGAACTTTGCCCTTGAGGCTTGAAAAGAGTTTCATTTACACTAAGGAAAAAAGTTCTCTCTCTTTTTCTCCCTCCCTGGTGGTGGTGATGGTGGTGGTGGGGTGATGAATGATGAGGTGTATTCTTATTTGGGCCATGGCAGTAAACTTAGAAATTGCAAGTACACACACACCCACACACACACACACACACTTGAAGTTTACCAAGAACGTGAGCACTCACTACTGCCTGCTTTGGTATAAGCTGAGTGAGCTAAAGGAGCAAGGTTCCCTACCTTTGGAATTGCAGTATGGCAGTACTTGTTGGGATAACATTACTTCTAACGTACAGAAAGTGTACTCTAGGAATATCATGGACATAATTACATCTGAAAGTGTTTTGATTAGCTTAAGCAATTAACCTAAATTCTCCGACTGCAAAGAAGTCACAAATATCTTTTTAACTCTTTTTGTGGAATTATTATTAACTAAAGGCCCAGTGTGTGGATTTGTGCATGGATGGGGTCCCTCAGCCTGTCCTGCACCCTCTCGCAATCTGGGACCCCTCAGGGGATGTAGCCGTGCCAAAGTGGCAGGCGGCTAGGGAGGAGCCCCAGCCGGGGCGGGGCAGCTCTGCTGCGGCTCATCCGGGCCCAGCTGTGCCTGTCACCGCCACCGGTGAGCCCAGCTTCGGGCTGAGCAGTGCTCCTGCTGTGGGAGCGCACCGACCACCAGGGGGCAGCTCCTGCGTTGAGCATCTGCCCCCTGGTAGTCAGTGTGCATCATAACGACCAGTCAACTAGTCATTATGGTCATTTGGTCGTAATGGTCGCTTAGGAATATATCTATATCTATATCTATATCTATATCTATATTTATATCTATATCTATCTATATGTAAATATAGCTTCCTAGATAACCTAAATTCCTGGAATATCTAATTTTTGAGAAATTAGCTCAGTATTTTACAAACACTTGACTTGTAGAGTAACTCAAGTTTTTAAGTAGTGTTGGAAAACCATCCTTTTACTTACCCACTGTTGGCAATAATAAAGTCTTAAAAGACACAAAGTCTATGGATTCTATATTGTTTTTTAATATCATGATTAATTTACAAATATATATGTATTTTATACCTTTCAACTGTCTGCAGTCACTTCACACTGTGAGTTTCTATTGTTTCTTATTGCTTTGTTGCTAGGTAAGTGACATAGCTGGTTGCCATTTTTAGCAGCGTCATGAGGTCATGTCTGTTTCCATGCCAACAGATCCTCTTGGGAGAGTATTTTCAGTAAAAGCCCGGAGGTGGTGACTTCTTTGCAGCTCCAGTGTTGCCAGCGCCTAGTTGAACTATGTAAACAGTGCCTGCTTCTGGTTTACAAATATTCAACAGAGACAAGAGGATCATTCTCAGGCATTGGCACTGACTGGGGTAATTCCAGGTACTTGTATATGTTTCATAAACTCTATACGTTTTATACAAAGTAAAGTCACAAGGCAGTTTGAAATTGAAAGTCTTTTTGTTTATATGGCTAGGGAAAAAGCTAAAGACTGAAAATTCATGCACACTCTAGTCTACAACATACTTTTAATTTGCACAATCTTTACCTTTAAAGGACCAAACAAACCTAAAGGGGTTAGAAATAAACTACATGGAAATGATATTATTTGGTTTACATGGTTTTGCTTTCAAAAGCTAAGTAAGAACAATGAAAAATGCTAATAAAATGAACTCCCCCTCCAATAGGGATACTTTACCATTTAAACTTAAGCCTAACAGTTGAGAAATGCCTTTAGTTTTTAGTTTAATTTTTACTGTTCAGTATGCCTCTACTACTCCCTTCATCACAAAAAATAAAAAAAAAAGTGGGACTTCTAGGAATATATCCTAAGAAACCCAAAACACCAATCAGAAAGAATATATGCACCACTATGTTCATAGCAGCACAATTTACAATAGCTAAGATCTGGAAACAGACCAAGTGCCCATCAGTAGATGTGTGGATAAAAAAGCTGTGGTACAGCCCTAACTGGTTTGGCTCAGTGGATAGAGCGTCGGCCTGAGGACTCAAGGGTCCCAGGTTCGATTCCGGTCAAGGGCATGTACGTTGGTTGCGGGCACATCCCCAGTAGGGAGTGTGCAGAAGGCAGCTGGTCGATGTTTCTCTCTCATCGTTGTTTCTAACTCTCTATCTCTCTCCCTTCCTCTCTGTAAAAAAAAAATCAATAAAATATATTTAAAAAAAAAAAAGCTGTGGTACATTTTATACCATGAATACTATGCAGCAATAAAAAGGAAGAATCTCTAACCATTTGAGACAGTATGGAGGGACCTGGAGAGTATCATGCTAAGTGAAATAAGTCAGTCAGAGAAATACAAGTATCACATGATTTCACTATATGTGGAATCTAATTAACAAAGTAAACTGATGAATGGAGTGGATTTAGAGACATGGAAGCATGGCACAGAGTGCAGAATCTCAAAGGGAAGGCAGGGGAGGGTGAGTGGGGGGGAGGTAATCAACCAGAAACCTTATATGCATATATATATAACCCATGAACGCAGACAGTGGGGTGGTGAGGACTTGGGGTAGGAGACAGGGTTGGGCTGGAGGGGGTCTATGGGGGAAAAGGGGACATATGTAATACTTTCAACACTAAAGATTTAAAAAATAAATAAAAGCTGCAGAAAAACACACAAAAAAACAGAAAAGCATACAAATCAGTGGGATATAAATTTGGTAAGTTCTATTTAAAACTTGAATTTTTATAAATATTATCCTGTTAAAATAGGTAGTTTCCAAAAGCATAAAAATAATATTGTTATTAAGCTGCAAAACACACAGAGTAAATAAGAAATACATTTTTGCACCACAAGACAATCATAGTTCCCATTAGAATTAAAGAAGAATATGACTTTATTTTTAGTACTAGAGACCCGGTAAACGGATTCGTGCACCAGTGGGGTCCCTCAGCCTGGCCTTTGGGATTGAGCTGAAACCGGCTCTCTGACATCCCCTGATGGGTTCTGGGTTGTGAGAGGGTGCAGGCCAGGCTGAGGAGGCAGGGGAGGAACGCAGGAGGTTGGCCAGTCAGGGAGGGACCGCGGGAGGGCTCCAGGGCATGTCTGGCCCATCTTGTTCAGTCCCGATTGGTGGGACCCCAGTAACAAGCTAACCTACCAGTCGGAGTGTCTTCCCCCTGATGGTCAGTGCACATCAGAGTGAGCGGTTGAGTGGCCTTAGGGTATCATTAACATATTACACTTTGATTGGTTGAACGGCTGACCAGACGACTGGGCACTTAGCATATTAGGCTTTTATTATATAGGATATGTAAGTTGTCATCCTATTCAGGATAGAAAAGAGTAAACCACGACTTTGAAAAACTAAGTGATTTTTTTAATTGATTTTTAGAGAGAGAGGAAGGGGCACAGAGAGAGAGAGAGAGAGAGAGAGAGAGAGAGAGAGGCGAGAGCAATATCAATTGGCTGTCTCTTGCACACCCCTTACCAGGGATGGAGCCTACAACCCAGGTATGTGCCCTGAGTGGGAATTGAACTGGCAACCCTTCAGTGCACAGAACGATGCCCAACTAACTGAGCCACACCGGTCAGGGCTATATTTGCCTAATTTAATCTATAAAATTAAAAGATAAGAAAATAGAGCTAACATAATTAAGGTTTATGACTATGTTTTTCTTGACCACAGATCTGTAGGATATTTCTGAATAATCTTTAAAGAGTATGTGACACCCATTCTATGGAAGACAGTGACCTTCAGCCTTCATCTCAGTAAAGCAATAATTGAATAGACATATCAAGTGAAAGCCATTTCTCAGAGTTGGACTCATAACTAACCAGACAGAACTGATATATAAATCCACAGTGCTCGTATATGGCAGAGGTGGGACTTGAAACTAGGACTTCCCTCCAAAAATCAAAGTTAAAACTACAGGACAATGCATGCCCACTAGGATGGCTATTATAAAAAATGCAAAATAGTAAGTGTTCATGAGGATATTGAGAAGTTAGAACCCTCATGCATTGCTGGTTCACAATGGTGTGGCAGCTATGGAAAATAATTATGCATTCCTAAAAAAGTTAAATATAGAATTACCATGTGCCCTAGCAATTCTACTCCTAAGTATATACCTCAAGGAATTGAAAACAAGGACTTAAACAGATATTCATAGCAACATTATTCATAATAGCCAAAAGGTGAAACAAGCCAAATGCCCACCAATAGATGAATGGATAAATAAAATGTAGTAGGTACATACAATGGAATATTATTCAGCCTATATAAGAAGGAATGGAATTCTGATACATGCTACAATCGGGATGAACCTCGAAAGCATGCTAAGTGAGGTAAGCCATAAAGAAACAAATATAATGTGATTTTACCTATATGATGTATGTAGACAAATTCATAGAGACAGAAAGCAGAGTAGACGTTACCAGAACCTGGAAGGAAGAGAAAATGGGGATTTAGTGTTTAATGGGTACAGTTTCTGTTTGGGATGATGAAAAAGTTCTGAACTGAATAGTAGTGATGATTACACAACCATTGTGAATGCACTTAATGCACTGAATTGTGTACTTAGTAAAAATAGTGTTTCATCTTATATATATTTTACCACATTAAAAAAATTAAACAAAAAATGCAGGGTAAATATTGTGATGAACTTTACCTTGTATTCCCAAACCAGGAAGCTGAGTTTATTCTGGGGGTATCATGGATCCTGGTCTTATTCCAGGAAAATATCAGAAGGGTGGCATAGTTTAAATATTCAAGGCTACCAGTCTTGAAATGCTTCATGTTCTTGCCCTGACCAGGTGCTCGGTTGGTTAGAGCACCATCCCCATACACCAAGGTTGCGGGTTTGATCTCCGGTCAGGGCACACACAAGAAGCAACCAATGAATGCATGAATTGGTGGAACAACAAATTATTGTTTATATCTCCCTCCCTTCCTTTCTCTCTCTAAAATCAATTAACAAAAGAAGAAATGCTTTGTGTTCTAGAGATTGTCCTTGGTCAGCAATAAGTTGGTACATGACAGACTGACCAATTCTACATCAAGGAAGAATTAGATAAATGTATATTTTATGTCTACATGCTGGATTGGTGAAGATGTGCAGACATAGTCTCAGAGATGAGTTAGGTTATGTATGTGAAGCAAGTAGGGTAGCATAAGGTATTTCTCCTTGGTACAAATTAGCTACAAGTTAGTTATTTTTGTACATCAAGAATAAATTAGAATAAAAATAAAGCTATAAACCTTTCATATTTTTGCTGCTTTAACACTGACTTTTTAAATATAGTCTATAAATCTACTTCATAGCGTTATTCTTTCTTTTAAAAAATAAATTTTATTATTTAACTTCATTACAAAGAATATTTAAATATAATCTTTGATGTTCAGTTAGCATGGGATCTCCCAAGAGATATTAATGGTCATATTAAGGCAAATAATCCAGTGTTTCCCTGTAATGCTTTAAAATATTCCACAGCATTTGCTTTAGGGAAGCAAAGAGTTTCTTCCAGTGTGATTTCATATGCCTTTTTGAGTTCGTACTGAACCTCTTTTTTTCTTAAAAAGTTTATTTTAGCTTCTTTTTGTTTCAGTTAAAAAGCTTAGTATGGCTGGTGTGGCTCAGTGGTTGAGCATTGACCTATGAGCCAGGAGATCACGATTCGATTCCCTATGAGGGCACATGCCTGGGTTGCAGCTCAATCACCAATAGGTGGTGTGCAGGAGGCAACTCATCAATGATTTTCTCTCATCGTTGATGTTTATATCTCTCCCTTTCCCTTCCTCTCTGAAATCAATAAAAAAATATTTTTAAAAAAAGTTTAGGTTTGTGGATGTGTAATAGTTTTCTATTTTCTAGATTATATTTCATATTTCTGGGGGAAAAAAAGAGCATAATCATTGTAGTCATTAGATTTAAAATTGGGATTCCTAGAGAGAAATTACAATATAATATAGTTGCTAGGAGCACTGATTCTAGAGCTAGCCCACATGGATTTTAATCCTGGCTACACCACTTACTAGCTGTGTGACTGTGGGCAAACCGTTTGACCCCTGAGTGCTTTAGTGTATTATCTATAAAATAGAACCTACAATAATATCTACTATATAGAATTGTGATGAGAACTGGGTTAACATTGTAAAACAATTTTAATAGTACTGGGCACATAGAAAACACTATTTCAGTATTAAATAGTGTTAAATAAAATAGTATAAGTTAGCTGTAACCAGGATTTTGTATTTTTGTTTTTCATCTGTGAAATGGAGAGATCTTTAACTCAAAAGGATATGTGAATGTTATTGTAATGTCAATATTACCTATTACTTGGAAATTCTTCAAAAGAAGGTTGGTAGAAGTTACTGTTTACTCTGGTAATTATCAATGTAATCAGAATGCATTTTGAATA